TAATTCTTAGCATGTGTGTGAACGAGAGGTCTTATTTTTTTAACTTTTTCTGTACTTGGTTAATTGGATTTTTTGGAGTTAAACACTTAGTTGATAGTGGTTTCGGTTATATGGCATTTGCCCCTTCTATGGCTATTGTACTCTGGTAAATGATAGAAGAAAAATTCAAAAGCATTAGTTTTTGTCACAACCTTGTTCTTTGTAATGCTGTTCAATTTATGAATGAGCTTTATGCGGGTAATTAAGTAACTTCATTCTCTAACTTTTTCATGTTTGGTGAGTGGGATTGATGATTTTGAAACTGGGCAACCAACCCTTAGAGTGGTTTTGTTTTAAAGGGAAATGGTGGTTACATCTCAAGAAAGAGATGAGTTTATAATTGTTTAAAAATACTTAATTGGGTACCTACACGTTTGATTGATGTTAAGAGTTGTGCAAGCACATAAAAATGAAACAATAAAGAAAATAAAATCTCTCTTAAAACATTCTAAGCTATCAGTCAAAATTTAGAGACAAGCGTGGGCACATCTCAATCGTCTTGAGGCTTAGCCTGGAGGTGTAAGCCAGAGTAATTGAGATGTAAGCTTTAAAAATGGCCTCAAGTGATGCAGGTGGTGTAGCAATAGTAGTAGAAAGCAAGAATTTGCAGGGAAAGACGGAGAAGAAGAAATAGGTAGCAAACATGAGAGAATGGGGGAGAATACCAAAGGAGAAGAGATTTGGGGAGGAGCATATCATTTAATTTTCTCAATTCATCGTCCAGTTTGCAAGCTTCATTACGCAGAATACATATAGAAAAGACCTAAAGCTAAGGGGGCTTGGGCCAAACCCAATAATATAAGCTCAACTAAAACATAATATAAGTAAATAATTCAATAGCAAAAGGCTAATCTCTAGGGAATTTTTCTCTTGTTTCCTCACAATTAAATGCTGAAGAGCAATCCTTAATCTTTTATATATTAACTGATATTTTATATTTATCTTGCAGATTTTTGGGAATGGTATGGATACTCAGGACACATCACTATCGGTGCTATTGTTTTTTGACAAGGAGAGATTTATATTTAATGTTGGGGAAGTAAGTATTACTCATTTTAGCTCTTTATTTTGGAGGCCACATGTGAAATTTCTTGTTTTTTAAATTTTCGATACATCACTTGCGAGAATCTATATAGAAGCTGCAAGTCATTTGACGTTTAGAGGAGAATTAACATTTGCTATTATCAATATCATAAATGAAATATACAATTTATTAACTAGTGAAATGTTGACAACATGGATGCAATTGGCTATGGAGAAGAGGATGTTGGCAAGACAAATGATCATTATATGAAGAAGACATCTTGAACGACCTACACCCGAAAAAATGAAATAAAAAAAGTCTATGGAAAAAGGAAACGAAAAATGCTAGCTTTAAAATTTTGTTTTGCGAAGTTTATACAATTACAAGACATGTTTTAAGGAATGTACTTTACTTATGATCGCACAGAAAGGAAAATAGATTGAGAGGTAGCTCATTTATCAAAATTAATTCCCATCTTTCTTTCTACATCATTGACTGTAATTGTGCTGGAGCTTATTAGTTATGTGGCATGTTTTCTTGGTGGAGTAATTTTAGGCAATCAAAGTTGGGTAAAAATCTTTATTTATTTGATTTGGAATCACTTTTTAATACTAGTTTAGCATAGTTTTAAAGGAATGATGTTTGGCTCTTTTTGAGTTATTTTTAACGATATAATACTTATTTTAGGGGTTTCAAACTGTCGAATGTGTCATACCTGCAAGCACCACTTTCTACTCAATTTTTCTTGCTTACGTGGACATTTTAATTGTTTTCTCAATAAATGTACTTCAGATTGAACGTATACTTCTCTCACGTGTCTGCTATCTATCCCTTTGGTCATTTCTAATGGAGATGTTATTTTCCAATCTCAAAATTTGATGAACCTCATGTTCTTGATGACGGTGTTGTCAAGATATTCACAATAGTCCTTCACCAAGTCGTTTAGATAATGCTTTGAATGAGACAAAGTCTGCAAATCTTTCTATGATTTATATTTGTGAATTGCAAGGACTAAAGACAAAATTTGACCCCAAAAAAAGCTAATTCTCTTGGATTGAAACCTGGGTCAAAGAATGATCTATTGTAACACCTTTTAAAGTTTGACTTAACAGTGTTAGCCTTTTCAAGTTTTCTTATTTTTGCATTGATTCACTTGTAATGTTCAGGTTCACCCAATGGATGTACTTGGCCCTTCTGTTCCTGCCCCTTTAGTATTGATAATGGATTGATCTACGCTGTTGCAGCTACAAGAGTTACTGTCTGTACAAAGTCTTTCGTTATTATGTTGATACAGTTGAAAATGTACCAAAAATTTCGAAAAATGTGAATTGTATAACCTACGCACATCACAAACACGTCTGATTATCAAATATTGATGTCAAAATTTGGTGCAGCTCAGCATATCATGGCAGGGAATGAAATGTTAGTTATAGATTCTTGCTATCATTTTCATAATATTTCTTGATTGCTCATTCCTTCTTGAATAATTCGGGACGACGAGTCTCATATACTGCAGGAAGGATATTGAAGTGCTTATTTTAAAAGCAAGTGCAAGAATTGCTACACGACTTAACAACTCGTGTTGTCAATTGTTTTCAGCTCTTGGTTTCTGGTCTCTTAAATGCATGCCTTCTGGCTTGAAGACATCAGATGAGGTCAGTTTTGGACTTATATTTTGTGTTCGATTTAAATAGTTGTGGAAATAACCTACTTGTAAATTTTATCCATATTGGTTTCGTCCTCTCAGGATCTCACATCAAGAATCAATGAAACCAATCCAGCAAAGAATCTTCTCAGTGTCTGAATTGTCAACTAAATCAATTAGTTTCCAAGAATTATAATTGAAATTATCCAATTGATATAAATGACTGATAAAATGTAAAGACAAATGTTTAAAATAGTTTATAAATTTCTGAAAAAAAGCAGGTATTAGTGTAGGTAGATTGAAATGCTATCTCCTTTAATTGTTTAATCTTGATGATTGCTATATAAACTCGACTCAGAACTATTGAAAGTTATAGATATGAAATCTTTCTTTATAGAAGTGCAAGGATAGTGGAAGCTTAATAGTTAGTAGATTTTGTAAGTCTTGCCATTATTAATGTTTATGCTTATTATATGTGATACGTTCATGCTATTAATTTGTTAGCAGCTTCAAGAATGCTCTAAATGAATCTGGTTTTCTTTTATGCGCTAGTAATACATGATGTTATGTGCGGAACTATTCCATTTGCGTCCCTACACAAATCTGGGACTTAACAAACTATCAGATATTCTAGAGAAGTCTAAAAAATTAAACCAGTTGTGGTCAGGGAATGGAGAAACTAGTGGAGAGAAGACATTTGTACAAGCTAATGGAGTTATGACTGAAGAGCTATCGTTGCATGATGGTGCACTTTCAAAGTATCAAAAATGTTAGTTCCATCTACATCAATCTTTTCTCGAAAGGAAGTTTACTTTTTGATTGTGGTGAAGGAACGCTAACAACTAGTTTTTATTGAAGTGTATTATCTTTTGGAATTTCTGGCAATAGGTTTCACGTAAAGGTGCTGATGAAGTAGTAAGATGTTTACGATGTATTTGGATTTCCCATATTTATGCAGATCACCATATGGGTCTAGCTAGGATACTTGCTCTTCGAACGAATTAGTTGAAGGGAATACCTCATGATCATCTGATTGTCATTGGCAGTTTCTTGATTGTGAGTATACGAAAGAAAGCTTCACTCAAGGCTTTTAATTTAAACGAGGATGGATTCTACTATGTCTGATGGAGGAGGTAGCATGCAAAGCTGCTCGAAGAGGCAGAGAATTCCTGTTCAGAATGTTGCTGCCATTCCGATTCTCAAGTCCTTGGAGAAGGTTCTTGTGGAAGCTGGATTAGAAACATTAATTAGTGTTCCTATTAAACGCTATGAACTGGCATTTGGTATCATATTGAATGTCGCGAATAGGATCAGTAGAGTTGAAAAAATGATATTTGGGTGGAAACTTGTTTATTCTGGTGACACAAGGCCTTTACTTCAACTTAATCAAGCTTCATGTGGAGTAACTGTTCCTATACACGAGGTAAGTTGTAAGACATAATCATAGTATTGTTGAGTGTGTTCAGGATTTGGATTTGTAAATCTAGGATCTTAAATCTTTGATTTGAGATAAACTTAGGTATCTTTGGCTTCTGGTGCAGGCTACGTTTAAATATAGTCTGTCGAAAGAGGCTGAAGAATAGAAACCACAACACTATGAAAGAAGCCGTGGAAGCTGGAAACTTGAGTGGAGTGTATAGCTTAATCCTCACTCACTTCAACTAATCAATACCCGAAAATTCCCAAATGTGATGGAAAAATTCACAAGCATAAAATGTGCATTGCTTTTGATAATATGATTATTAACTTGGCTGATTTGCCTGTTCTTCCAGGATTAGTGCCATCCCTAGAACTCTTGGTGGGTGATGAAATGATTACCAAGGATGTAATTGCTGCTTAATTTATTCTTTAAGTCCTTTTATTTAAATTTGTGGAGTTGGTTAATAGTTAAATATACTCTTCAGTAAGGGATTGAGCCAAAACTTATTCCAAATTTAAATTGCATTTCTACATGAAAACAACGTTTTAACTCATCTAATTCAGTAGGTATTATAAGATGACAGTTGTTATTACTAATTGGGATAGCGTTTGCTTTTCTTTTTTAGCAGGTCGTCTGTTGGTTCAATTTACACCTCCATCCTGGACATTTATTTAACTTAGGAGAGTGGGTTAATTAATCTATCATTTCTATTCCACCTACCGGACAAACCCTAATTCATTTTCACTTTTAGTGGTAGAGATGGTGGTGGTTATGCAATTGGAAGTAGAAATGGTGGTGGTGACATCGTTGTTGTATAGTTCGTCATTGTATAGTTGGTGTTGTAGAGATGGCGATTGTGATGGGGTTTTATTAGTGGATTGGTGATTTTTTGTTGGTAGTTGTTTCTGGACGGTGGTGGTGGTGGTGGTAATGGTTGTGACGGGGGTTGAGGTTGACATTGGCAGTGGAGCATGGGGCGAAATTGTTTTGTGATCAATTATTTTGTTGTTGTGACCAATAAATGATATGTGACCTAAAAGAATGTGTGATTGTGATTAAATTTGGAACCATGACTCAGAATTTGGTAAACCGTGACCAACTAAATCGATTGATAATTAATTTGTGATTCATTAATTTGATAATTTTTTTACTGTGAAATAAGTTATGACTTATAAAATTTGTGATTTGTGACAAAGAAATAATTTTTGGTTTATAAAATTTTTGATTTGTGATCGATGTATAAATTGTGACCTATAAAATTTTAGATTTGTGATCGAAAAATAATTTATAACTAATTGATTTGATAACTTGTGGCCAAATTGTATAGAATTAGAATATATTTTTGATTAATTATTTCATAAATAAAATTTAATAATACCTATTTTTTGAAGTTTTAAACCTTGTATTTTAGTTTTGAAATGGGTTATAGTTAAACTCTTTGATCCGAAGTTTTCCAATGTCATTGTGGATCGTCTTTTAATGCCATACACATAGGGAGTGGACGTTTAATTCAATTTACACCTCTAATCTCTCTAAACCTGTTAGCTTAGGAGTAGTCCTACATTCCATGGATGATATCTTACCTTCACTTTTGTGGAGATTTGAATGTCAGAAATGATGTAAAACAAGATGTACATGTGGTATGATTGATGAAATAATAATGCTACTCTCCACAAGAATGATTAATTTAATATGTCATATTAGATACATTCCCTCAACCAGTTAATTATACTTATTGAATTAATCATTAATCATTATCCGGTGGATTTTAAAACATTACTTCTTAGCAACATTATAATCAAACCATTCAGAGTACGACTTTTGTTGTCTAAAGAATGGCGTTAGTGTTGTTTGTGTTTCTATTAGAATTGTAGAGGCACTCTCTCGTGTATATCAAAGAGCAGAATAAAACTAAGTGAGTAAGCAGTAATCTATTAGAGGAAATTACAACCACTCATGTTTTTTAACTTTCAATTTCAAAAATCAAATTTAAGAATTGTTTATACACAAATCAGGTGATAAAGCATTTTTTAAACATTAATATTTATAAATTAATAATAAAGTTTAACTAATTCGATTTCAACTAATTATAGGTAATTGACGTGGTTAGGTGGGATTCTATTTTCAAAAGGGGAAAATATCTTTCAAAATCCATTTCTAACAACTTCCATCCTCTTCAAAATCCACGTTTTGTTCTTCCGGCGTTCGCTTGTCGCCATTAAACAAAATCGACGAGACCTCCTCGTTGTCGACATCAAACTTCACTTCTCTCTCTTATTTATACACAACTTCATCTCCTCTGAATGTCAATCTCTGTACTATTCTCTGTGATACATATATACACAAAAATCCACACAATGGTTTGGACAAGGAGAGTTGATCAGGGAAGAAAGTAGATGAGGCCGAAAATAGGAAAGATAAGAGAAAGACAGATAAAATACAAAAAGAACCTGAAACTAAGAAATCGAAATGTTTTGGATTTGAAGCAAATCGACTTCAAAGAAGGTAATTTCAATTTTGTGTTGTTTATTTTATTTGAAGACCATTTATGAAAGTCACAGTTGATGAGTCACAAGTATTGTTAATAATATTCAATGTTTGTGACATTAATCTATAATTGTGTTCAGAATCAGAACTTGTGACTGAATTTTTTATGTATGTGACCGGAGAAATATTCTATTGTATGATAATTTGTGACTTGATTATCCTACAATTCTATATTTGATTTTAACATTGTCCATATGTATGCATAAACTAGTATTGTAACTTCAATTAATGTCTGATTGTGACCTAATAAACTATGTTCAATGTATGTTGAAAAGGCCAGTATGATGAACTGTAATCTACCTTACGTGTCACTGTTTTAAGAACTAGAACTTCTGATTGGGTTTTTTTTATATATGTGACTTGAGTGAAATATTATTGTTCATTTACTTGTGACATGATTGTTTTACCATTTCATATTTGATTTTAATGTTGTCTTGATCAATACAAATAATGTAGGAATGGAAATACATTATTCTTGAAGACCGTTGATTTTTCACGAAAAAATTACAACAAAACGCGTCGAACTGTGTTATGACCAATTTTAACAAAATTCAACAAAGTCTAATGAGATATATTGGCAAATACATGTTTCTTACACTTCATGGACTGTCATGAAATTGTGGTTTAATCTCAATTGATCCACTATTTTTTATTGAGAGAGATGAAACAGTCGGACCCTGATCCGGATCAAGATATCAGGTCGCTTTGTTAGATTCTAGTTGTTGGAGTTCTGTTTAGGCAGAATATAACTTCCCTGCTGTTTAAACATAAGCAGATCAAGCAGGTCACAAAGCTGGGCAAAAACAAGGAAAATAGCACCATGCTAGATTGATTGTTCCCACATGGGCTACTATATTTTTATTTTAACATCAATTTCCTTGTTTAAAAAATTTGTAATATTTATGACTGGGATTTGTGTTCCATTTGAGTAATACCATTGCCTTAGTTTGTTAATGTTGGTGATGAAATTTTATTCATTTTTGAAGGTATTTGCATTTTCAGCAGGTTGTAAGTTCTTTTTCATTTGTACATATATGTCATTTGAATTGTTATCTGATATATGTCACTGGTTTACTTTGCATTCTAATTTAAGGTCACAAGTCATTGTCAGGGGTCACAAGTCATTGTTCACTGAGTTATGTTAATATTTTGCATTCTAATTTTTCATATTTTCACATTTTACATTATGACTTATGTCACATGTCACGATTCAACATGCACTACTTACATATCAGGTTCACTAGTCACATGTCATATCTTACTTTCTGAGTTAAGGTCATAGGACAATGTGCATAGGTTACAAATCAATGTATAATGGTCACAATTAACTGATTTATGTTCACATTTTACATTTTGATTTTATGTCACAGGCCACATTAATGTTAATTGGTCACAGGTCACAATTGTAGCATCCTACAGGTTCACATATGTTGATCTATATCAATCACAAAAGATGAGCTTCCATCACCAGTCGAAAAGATGGTTTGATTGTTAGGAAATGCTTGCAAACATTGATGAAAAAATTTGGTCACAAAAACATATAGGTCACAACATCTACTTGTCATAGCATCTACATTTTACAAGATTTAAATAGAAGTCACAACATCTACAACACAGGTCACAAAGAGCTTAAATACAAGTCACAACATCTATATGACATAGGATTTAAATTTTATAGGATTTAAGTACAAGTCATGTAGTTTATATATGGGTCACAATATCTACAACCTAAGTCATAGAGAGCTTAAATACATGTCACAACATCTACATATGATAGAATCTATATGTCACTGGATTTAAATGCAGGTCACAGAGATGAAATACAGGTCACAACATCTATAATACAAGGTCACAATGAGCTTAAATACATGTTACATCATTTGTATTTTTCAGGATTTAAATGCAGGTCACATAGATTAAAAAAAATAATAATAATAAAATATCACAACAAATTGTTATATCTCATTGATTGAAACAATTGTGAAACTATTCAAAAGTTTTAGACGTAAAACAAGTTCATATTAAATCACATACCCAGGACAATTGTAACTTTTCGATTTTTCTTCATAGCAATCCACTGTTGAAACAACCGATTTTGTAACCTAAAATATTGGAAGATCGGGTTACAATAGAATGGTTTCATTCACCAATTGTGACTTCGAACGTGATCAAAATTATTTAGGGATGATGACCAAACTCAATTCCTTGCCTCTATTAACCATATGTCTGTTACCGTAATTTTGAAAATATCTACTCCTTTTTGCTAATGATTTCCAATTTGTGACCTCAATAATCCACCGATTTTGATTGAGCCATATTCCAGCGGCGAGGATTGAGAAGTTGGCATCAAGAGCTCTGTCATTCTTCACTTTTGATTAGTAGCCAGTGGGTTGAAATTAAGAGGCGTGTTTGATTTGGAAACATTTCGTAACTGAAGGCTTGATATCAGGAGGGAATATATTTACATATTTATTGGAATCTTTTATATATATATATATATATAACCTGATTTTTGAATGTTCAAAACTAGTTTCTTAAAAATGAAATTGTATATAATAACCACCTTATATATGTATTGTTCCCAATCTTTTATTTCTGTGTAAGTAGTAACCAAAATGATTGGTCAATTTGGACTTTGTCCTAATTGATAAAGGGTCATGTAATTTTGTCCAAAATTGTTGGACAAAACCTGTTAAATTACATAAGTAGCAGAAATGAAATTGTTAAACAATTCATGCAATCATCAAATCTAAAAGGTGAATACAAAACTAAAGATATTGCAATCATATAAATAACTCAAACAAGAGCAGTGGTCTAAGCAAAGCTGGAAAGTTCATGGGCAGCGGTCAATCTGCACCATTGTGGAAAGGTGTTGGTCATTCATGCTAATTAGTTTATGAATTTAAGCTGTTCTTAATCTTCATTCATGGTAATAGGTGTGAAAAAATTGGCAACACAAGTGGTTATCCGTTCATGAACTTAGATTTAATATTTTATTATTCTGGACATCAACATATAAAGATCAACAGCAACATAAGTTTTAATTGGAAGAGAAACAATGAAGAAAGAGGTTAGAATCTGACCGAGAAGAAACGATAAATAAACAGCGGTGTGGTCAACTACAAGTGGAGAGCAGCGGTGGTGACCAGTGTGGACAACCACCTGCGACTGTGAGATGGGGGAGAGTAGGGTTGGTTTGGTTTGATTTTGGGACGATACATGGTATAGGGCAAATGGGGGTAATATACAGTCTTTTTTCAACTTTTAAACATTTGATTACCCTTTTTTATTCCTAGATACTAGTGTTTTACCCGTGCAATGCACGGTTATTGTTATTTTGAAAGTGACGTTAGTATTTTGATCGTTATATTTCGACAATGTGCATTACAACAAAAGATGGACTGTGTGATGTATTTGAAACTATAAAATTTTATAGGCGGTTCAAATGAACGGATATTGTAATATGGCAAATAACCTAGATGAGTGAGTGAGGAACAGGATTTGGATCAGGTTGAAATTGTACGACTTTTACTTCATGATAGTATAACAAGTTTTATATATTATTAGGAGGCAATGTACAAATAGTCTTAAGTGGCAGCTTAAAGTACTTGCATTTTGAAGAATCAAAAAGGGAATGGAAATGTAACAAATAGCATTAATAATAAGCATGATACTTTCATATATGTAAAATAAGGGAGATGGACACAGAGAATGCCTGTAAAAACGACAAAAGGATATGTCCACCACCGAGGTCTTGTCCCACATCTAGTTAAATATACAGATAATAGGTTACATAAAGATAATTTATAAAGAGCCTTGCACCATCATTCTCGTGGTAAAACCCCGAATATCTGTCATGCTCTGATAAACCTAACTTTATGATCTAATGAATACAATAAGGCGTGGTGAATATAAATCTAATTGTATATCTTCATAAGGAGATGGCACAAGGACTCACTATCAACACAAGTTTTATTCAAAAGAGTGCATGTTGATTTTTCTACTCGAACCCGCAAACAAGTGGCAGAAAAAAGTCGAATGCACGAGGAATCACGAGAGTAATTATCCTAATTATAATGAGGATGGAATTAAATTGTAGACCAAAGGAAAGGCATACCAGAAGTACATAAAACAATGATTCGCTAAAAAGATTCTAGCTAATATTCTCTAAAATGCATGATTTGAACAACTTAACCATAGATTCTAAAGGTTCATCGCAAGAAAGCATTATCAATTACATAGTGATTTGGCGTGTCATTGTGTATCTTCTTTTAATGCTCTACACAAAGGGGGTCGGTGTTTGACTCAATTTACACTTCTAATCTCTTTACACTCGTTAGCTTAGTGGTCTTCGTGGATACGCTTGACTATACTCCGCAAGAATAATTAATTAATAGCTATGTACATAAAACAGTTTGCCAGAGAACTTACATACCACACACAGTCCATGGAGTAGGTGGTTATATTTTTTCAATATAAAACTCATATGGAACCTATTTCTAGCAACCATCTTTGACTCATTATTTTAAAATGCCATTTGACGTTTCTCAATCGGAAAGATGCGCTACAAAGTTCGCCATAAATACTTCTAAGACGTATCAAACAACCTACAATTATGAATGAAGAATATAGTCGAAAGAAGTGACTCTAAATTGGGAACTAAAAGAAATAATCTAAACGATAAATCAATGGGTTTTGTTTGGTGTACATAATTTTTTGTACATCAAGTTATCCCACTCACATGGGGGTGGGGCAGTTCGAATATTTTTATTCGAGCGGGCTCCACCCCATGTATGGATACTTAATGTACAAAGATGATGTACAACTAATGTTATTCTAAATTAATTTGTAACAGTCATATCTAGCTCATCACTCATCGAGAGTTTACTTTTTCGCGCGCCCAAGCCCTATGCAGGTGCTTCAAAGCTTATCACCTAAGCACACTTCTTAGAGTATTGATCTAGACAAATGCACCAAATACATACTCTTAGACTTCAAAGGATACACAATCTTGCTTGGAGAAGCACCAAAAAACTCAAAACAAAACCTAAGATACGAATGACAAGTAAGAAAGAATGGCTCTTGATGTGTTACAAGCTTTACATTTACTCGACACTAATCAGGCGCACACAATCAACTCCTCTCCAACTTGGCCAACGGCTAGTTAATTTTCTCCGTGTAAAGATTCTTTACAGATATTACTCCTAAAGTATGGCACTAAATTTATTCTTGTATAGCGGTTATTATTTCCTTGTACAACCCCATTTAAATCTGTAAAAATCAGTGTGAATATTTCATCACATCAGTGTCCTGGTTCGTTTAAGAACAATTCAATTTCGACCTGAGGTTAGCAACAATGAAATCAAAATAGACCAGGTCCAAAGCCAATCTAATTTGAGAGGGACAGTGGAATCAAAATGGGGAAAATACTTGAAGCAAAAAGCCAAGGGAAAACCAAAGAGTGTGTAATTATCCGAACAAGAAGGATGTGGAGATTCCTTTCAAGTCAAATGTCACTTGCACTAGAATACCAACCAAAACGACTCATTGAAGCTATAACATGTTCGGTGGAACCTGTACTTCACTCCATACACCAACAGCAATATGAAGTTTTTCAATGTAAAAAAACCGTATCATCCACTTTTGTGCTCCTTAGAATCTTCACTTCCCACTGGAAAATCCCTTGACAGCCCATTTCCAATGAACATGACCAATTTCCAAATGTTAGAATAGCATGCTTCTGTGTTTCTCAGCAAATTGCTCCTGCCTCTGGAGGAAAAGTCAACGTTATTATCAATGAAAATCCCATTCAGCATTTTCCAAACTGGAAGACGTGTCATCTAGAATCCCATTTAGATATCTATCACAAGAACAGTTAAATTTTTGGTCTCACTTAGTAGTAACATAATTGCTTACCCTTAGGTTCTTCTGTAACAAATAATCATATCCTTCCTCGAGTATCTTTTGTAGTGATAGATCCAATTCTTCTTCTGAAATATTTATGATTTCCTGCAAATCAGTAGTACCAAAAATGGATCATGCACAAATCAAAATGGAATGTGGAATCAGTTATCATGCTTGTAGATGCGCTTGAACTTGGTTAACGCATTGAACTTCTTTTTTTTCCTTTTTTTTCTTTTTTGCCCCATTCTTCGAAGTGTGGCATTGAAAAGGGTGTAGAACAGGAAAGTGAAGGTAGGAGACGAGGAGAAGAGATTGATTCAGGTGTTATCTACAGTACAGCTATTTACCTAGTGTCGCAGATAGTGATAGTTAAGTGTTAAATTCATATTCCTACAATTACGGTTGATATTTAGGTTTAACGAATTTGCACATCAAACCAAATCAATGTTCATATTTCTGAGGAATTGTACAAGCATGTAAAATAGTTGCAGGAAAAGAATTTGAGAAAAACTCAGTCACTCAATATAACTCTTCTTTTTTCGTTTTACTGAAAATGTGGTGTGAGAAAGTGAACGAGTTATTTAGAATAAAGATATCTAACCCGAAATCTCTCAAAAGAATATCCCTGCAAACCAAGATACAGCAAAGCTAATTTCTGATTTGAGGAAAGCGAAATAGGAAGCCATCTTTGAAAGTATAAGCGGGCAATTGTTGGCATATATTGCAATGCAGCCTATTACAAGAAAAGATCGTTAGAAGTAATTGTCAATTAACATTAACGTTCAACCTCTTACAAGTTAAAAATATGATGGGCTCAACAATGGAGAAATTAGATCAATTCATAGCTATCTTTTTCAGATACTCAAATGACAAAAAGAAGTATTGTTGATTAAGTGCACAGAGCTGTAAACAAAAGCACACATTCGTACACGAGGGATGCCAATTATGCAAGACTATTCCTTGAACAATAGAGTATTATTCAAGGAAATCTTTATCCAAGTTTGACACAAATGCAATTATGGTTCAAAATATGTCAAAAAGGAAGAGGGAAATTTGGAAACACTTCTGAGGAGTGCACGGTATATTTAAAAAACTTTGAAAGACATTACTTAGAAGGTCAAGAGTAGTGGGCAAAATTCATTTTCTCACATAACTAATAACTTGATTGTTTTTAGATAATTGTTTCTACACTAGTAGAGTCCTATTAAAGCAAAGAAAGATAGGCTTACCTGCCACCTGCAAGAGTTTTCTTTAAATATTTTAGTCTATCATTTTCTTCTTTAGCTTCTGCCCACAAGGGATTTTTTTCTACCATTCCTTCCAAACATAGAATAGTGTATTAAGAAAAGTTAGAAATGTTTTTAAACATGAAGTACTCACGACAATCCCTGCCTTTACGCCATAATATACTAGAAGTATAAAGAGAATATTTATAAGGATAGAAGAACAACGAGGATGAAAAGAAATGAGGTATTTACGATAAGACAAAGTAGATCTTACCATATCTAGAATATGCGCATTAACAATATCTATAAACGTCTTCCTCCTGTTCAAAGTTTTATATTCCATCTTTCGTAGGATTGTGAAATCAAATTGACAAATTGATTAAAGGTATTGGCAAAAAAAAAAAAAAAAAAACTCTCATGATAAAAATTAAAACTAATTTTATAATCTACGATTTCTTTGCAACGAAATTTACCTCTCGCCCACATCCACGTATAATATAATTAAGGACTTCCACTATCTCACTTTCACAGTCTAATGGGTTGTGCCATCCAGAGAGAACAGGACCAGCTAGAGGAGTAAATGCATTATTGTCCAGTATTCTGAGGAATAAGAAAAGTAAATAAGATAAACATCCTATTATCTTATTATATGGTATTCATGTTAATCAAACACAAATAAAAGATGGACGACATTCATTTTTTAAACATAAATAAAAGTATTACCTCAACGCGAAACAAGGATCTACAAACCTAGTGCTGGACAAGTTGAACAATAAGCGCTCGCCCTCCACTGTCACATTACAATAAGAACAAGGCTTAAGCATCAATTAATGCTTGCATAAGAAAGAAGGTGCAAATCACATTGAGCTTACTATAAAAGTGCCCACTTTGCTTGCCCTTGATAAAATATATATTATCTTTAAGCAGCTTAATCATTGCACAGGCTTTGGTACCATCCTTGATTTATTAGGACAATAGGCACAACAACATAAAAATAATTATTATCATTTGTCAACTCTTATACATCGAATCAAACTATAACCAAGCAAGATCAGAAAACAAATGAATTAAATAAACAATACCTTATTTTTAGGAAAAGATAACATTGAAAAACCATATGAAACCCATCTATCAAATAGCACAAGATCCATTTCAATTATGACACCAAGGTAGTGCATCTCTTTCCAATGTCGTCTCTGAAGCTGATTTAAAATATGGCTCTCTAACTGCGGAACCTAAGAAATGCCAGGCAAAATTCGAAATGAGGGGCATCTAGTAAAATTTACTAAGCAAAATACATACAAGACCAAGAAATGTAATATGGCATAAATAGGCAATATGTAACTGAGAAAAACTACAGGTTCGTTCTCTAGCTTCTATTCCTTCTGTTGAGCAAGAACATGGCACTTAAATTTGTGCTAGATAACGTAGGTGGCAGGATAACACTAAAGTGGCAAAGCAAAAGAAAATTTTAATATTTACTTCAACTGCAAGCTTGCATATTGTGAAGAATTACAGCCAAGGAATAAATGAAAGTAACTATAAAGTAAAATTGACACACACCACTTGGAGAACGTCCTCAGCTGCATCTCCATTGTAATATCTGTGGTTAAGAAAAGATAATCTGATGGTAATCCAATCTACATTTGGCTCTCGAACATAATGACAGAAAGTAGAACAAATCTACAGTTTTGTTCTCTGACACACCGACATAAAGTAGAACAAATGTTGATTTGCAACAGACAACATCTAGAAAGGAATAAGAAATGATGTCATGTTCCTATTAAACTTGCATATGCAGGAAAAATTTGTGATCCTAGAAGGGTACTTTTTTTTTATTCCTTTCAGGAAGCCACTCAAGCCAAGACAAGGGTTTTTAGGCCTTCACCTCTTGGTTTGGGTGGGTGAAACGTATATGTTTGTGTATGATTTTAGGTAATTAAAGCAGTGGGTCCTACAGAATTGTGGATAGTAAGTTGTTGGTCCTATGAAATGTGTGGATGAGAAGTTTGACCAACTTATAAGAGCTTATAAACACATATAAACATGCACAGAATGGCACTTATTACATTTCACAAGATTAAAAGTAGCGAATGTCGTAAGTATTGACAATTATGCTCAGCCAAGTGAGGGCAAGTGACTGAGTCAGACCTAAAGGTTCGTGCAAGTACCCATTCAACAACATTTATTGTCTTCCACATGGGCAGGTCATGGGCCATATTTCCCTCTCGAATAAAAATAGCATTATGGGAAATATTTCAAGCTTCTGGGGAAAAGAAACAAGAAATTACTGACAACTATATATACAATGAGAATCCTTGTGTGTGAGAATGTAAAAAATTGGAAGCTGTAATTATGTGCCCTGATTTATTTCCTTGTATAGTGCACAGAGTTTTACAGGTAGATATTGGCTAGAATTAAGTCCTTCCCTTTTTCCTACTTTCCTATTTTCGTTTGAATTTTAGCTTGTATGTATAGAATTTTTTTTCTCAAATGAACAAACTTCAATTATTCAAAAAATCCTATTTGGTACTTGATGCAGATCGGTTAGAAGATAAAACCAGAAATCCATTGGAAAAGTGGAGAAATAAGAAAGGCCTATGAAAATGCGCATAACTTTTAGCTCGAGCGTCAAATTTATGTGCGCAAGTACAAAAGTGTTTTCAGTTCTCTACAATTTTGTCAAGTGATGATCGTCCCTTGGCCAAAGATTTCGGGGTCAAATTTTATTATTTATGGGTTCATTTTAATGTTTTTCCATTTGGAGTCAAATTAGGGGTATTTTTGTCATTTTGCAATTTTCTAGTTGTTTTCGAGTTCTATTCGAATTTGGCTACCACATTAGGAGTCCTTTGATGCATTAAATACAAGTTAAAGGATTACAAACTCTATAGCTATTTTTTAAATAATAATATGAGTTTTTCCGTTCTCTGGTGGATTCCAATATTTTCACGTTCGTACGAGCGATATTTGACCAACACCCATTCGTGTATTACGAACAAGAACCTTTTATTAATATTCACTTTTCCATTCTACATCAGGTGGTATCAAAGCCATTGTATCCTGATGACAACTCGGGATTGAGTTGTTCTAAAGTGGAAGGGAATAATGCGGATTAGTTAGAAGATAAAAATCATAAATTAGTTGACAAAGAGGAGAAATAAGGCCCTACGAAAAAGTGCGTACCTTTCAGCTCGAGTGTTGGATTTACGCGCGCAAGTACAATCCAAAAGCGTTTTTCAGTTCTCTACAATTTTATTGGATGATGATGATGGCCTTTGGAGTTAATTTAGGGCCTGTTTGGGAGTGATTTTTTCTCCCAAAAAATTAATTTTTTGACCGTTATTTCACCATTCCAGCTGTCATATTTGACTTCTTCTCTCACAGGTGGAACCCACTTTTCTCTAAACGGTAAAAAAATCAATGCTCATAATCCGTCCCAAACAGGCTATCAGTTATATTTTCGTCATTTTGCATTTTCTAGTTGTCTTCGAATTTGTCTACCAAATTAGGATTTCTTTTTATGCTTAAAATTGTATTCATCTTCTTACTGCAATTTCACCGTGCTCCATTGCCGTCACCTCTCACCACTTGAAGAATCATCTCTCTTTGTCTTCTACCACTAACACCCGCTGCCACAACGCCAGTTGTCGTCGTTGATGCTTGCAATGCTACAACCATACCGCTTCCTTCTGCTTTGCTCTACTACCGTCTGCCAGTACCACTCAGTTCCAAGTTGATTGCCTATCAGTACATCGCCACTTGGGGTATCGATCGCCACCACCACTTCTCGCTTCGGTGTCTCACTCTCCTCTGCTACCGCCAGTCATTTTCCGTGTTCTCAGTAAGTATTAAGTTTGCTTCTGATTACTGTTCTTTTATTAGGAATTTAATTATTTAGTAGATTTGCTTTAGTTCCTTTATATATACTAGTCAAAGTTGAATGTGCATTGCATGTTATTTTAATACTCTATATAAGTTATGTAAAAATAATTTTTGGTACCAATTTGTTGGCGGATTTGATGAATATCGGACAAATTAAAGAAAATGAAATTTAACATAGAAATTTAAGAGAAGAAAATTGTACTCAAATTGTGTACTCTCAAAACTTAATTTCTATGATTCAAATTTTTTGTAATGATGAAATACCATAAATGAGCAATCTTTTTATATTACATTTGATAAATAAAAATTAATTGTTAATACATAAATTTAAACACTCATTAAAATTTTTAGATACATAAATATGAATAAATTCATTTATAATAACTCTAGATTCATGTAATTCAAGATTCATCAAGTGAAAATTCATTGAATCTAGGTTAATGTGAATGTAATTAATTAAGAATTAATAACACAAATTTCTTAAATGGCAATAATTATGTAGTATTTATTACATATCAATAAATGAAAAGTAAGGTAATATTGAAGTAATTGAATTGTAGAGGGGTTAAAATCGTTCAAAAAATGATTCTACTTTGATGTGATATTTAATATTATATATATATAATTAAAATATAAAATAATAATAATAATAAACAAAAAATAAAGAGAAAAAGTTGGTTTTTAAATTCACTTAGGGTCCGTTTGATTGCAAAGGTGGAAAAGACAAACAAATTCCATGTAAGTTAGAAACGAAAAAACCACAAAAACTATATGAATTCGATTTCCATGGAATTGGCCAAAACCATGCTTTAAGTGTTTGTACTTTAGAATTCAAACTCCATTTTCACTTTCATATCAAATAGTTAAAGTAAAAAATTCTCGAATGTGACATTTTCCATGGAATTTGTTTCAATCAAACGGACTCTTAGTTTTAGTTTCAGATAGTTAAAAATAATAATAAATAAATAAAATACATTGGAACAAGTTTCTTAGCATTCATAATTGACTTAACCTCGCCACACATCTCTAAACTAATCACGTGGCACATAATGAATCTAAAGGATCTTAACCCATCTCATGATGCACTCTCACACCAAATTACTAATCAAGTTACTAATCTCTCCATTGACTTGATGTCGGTGAAATCTGATCTAGCTGAGCTTAAAATTCTCATCCAAAACCTCATTGAACATAATGGGCTGGAACTCGGTAAACGTCCTATGGATGATTTATTCGATTCCTCCACAGTTGGTCAAAACATCCACGAACCACTCCCCGCACCCCAGATGGCATATTACCTTAGCCACACAATCTTGGCCCTACACCACTACATATTCTCTATCTGGACCTCCGTGATCCAGTTGTCAATAAGGCTCCTCACCTGACCTCCCACCCCTGCACCCACATCGACGGTATGATCAACATAGGACATTGGTGATGACATCACTAGGACAGTTAAAGTCGACACCCCTAAATTTGATAGTCGCAAGACCCTGAAACCTTTCTTGACTGGCGCGATGCCATTGAAGAATATTTCGATTGGTACCAAATGCCTTATTACCATCGTATTCACTTCGCCAAAATGAAACTTATCAAATCTGTTACACGCTATTGGCAGACTGTGACACAATCCCTCAACCGCTTGGGCCAGCTTATTACTACGTGGGGGGGAATGAAACTCAAACTCATTGAGAAGTACGTTCCATCTTACCATAGATCTCAACTCTTAGAACATCTTAAGAATAGGCAAAACTCATCAACTGTGTCGAACTACAGAACTCGCTTTGACGAATTATTGTACCTTTCAAGCCTTCCTAAGCCCGAGGATGTCACGATCACTAGGTTTCTTAATGATTTGCGACCGAACCTCAAACATCAAGTCCTTGTTCTCAACCCTGACTCGTTTGAATATGCTTTTCACAAGGCACTCAAACACGAGCGACCTCGTTCTGCCTATTCGCGGCATGGCCCTCCTACTTTATCTGACCCCCATCTCTCTAGACCCCCTCCAATCGGTGCTCCTACTAGTGGTCCTACGTCAACCCAGGCCTGCTCGATTGCTGGTTCTTCCTCCACTCCTTGCGACACTTCTAAGGGTCAACCTGCTTTTCTGGCCACCTTGCGGGGTCCTACATCTCTAACTGTATGTCATCACTGTCATGTTAAAGGTCACATTATCTCTCAATGTCCCAATCGCACTCTCGCCCTTGCAAAGGATCCTCTACCTCCAACCCCAGAAAATGAGTGTTTCATGGTCGATCCTATTGACCATTCTGACGAGGATCTTGACCAATTTAAGTGTTATGAGAGGATGCGACCGTTGTCTCTGTTATGAGATGTATCATTTCCACTCTTATTGATTCTGACTCGTGGAAGCGAACTATTTTCCATACATTCATCCCATGCAACTCTCGTTCATGCATGTTAGTTATTTGGTAGCACCATGAATGTCGTATCCAAGTCTGGCATGGCCAAGTTTGGCTTCAAAATTGAACCACATCATCGACCGTTTAAGGTGGCGTGGGTTGCTCGAACCTCTTTACCAGTCATCGCTATCTTGTACCCCTTAAGTTGGGTCCTTTTTTGGGAGGATATTTACTGTAACGTCTTACCTATGGACGTTGCTCATATCCTTTTGGGTCGCCTTTGGCTTTAGACCATGATGTTAAGCATTTCAGGAGTGACAATAGGTATGAATTTCTCTATGACAAAAAACTA